CATGATCTTACTCCAAGCCGAACGACTTGACCTTGGAGACAGAATCAAGATTCCAGCAGAGCCTTTCGTTGGCCGACAATTTCCTTGAACCCTGAAGGCTATGTGTCCGGTCCCCGAGCGATTGATGCAGCCAAGACTTCCGTTCGTTCTGGCAGTCCGCGCGCTATGTATATTCATCACTGGTATCGCGATTCTTGTGCTTTCCTGATTCTTCAATAAAATTTCCTCTGCTTGTCTTGGCTGTCGTGATAGCCTTTGCAGGGGACGACGAAGGCTTGCTTGTAGCAGACTTTCAGCCGTTACAATTTATCAGCATGGTGAAGAACTTTCCCTGGAGGATATCTAAGTAATACTTATGCTAATAGGTAATGGCCAATTTTAACTTTGGCGATTATCTTCCGCTGCGCGGGACGGGCTAGAGCGCAGTGGGGTAAGACATCTTAGCGGCACTAATCCCCAGGAAAGATGCATGTAAACCCCGCCCTCAAAACGACCATCTATGACGTTCTCCTACATCTTGTCAGACCGTCTTTGCATTCTTATTCGGCCCTTTCTCCTCTCTTGTTGATAAATACCGCACCTGCTATGCTCATGCTTCACATTGACAACCCTTGAATCATGGCTATATTCACCAAAGGTCGAACAGGAGCGAAAGCCCCATACTTTGGGTTGACTGGAGGATGGCTTACATTCTGGGTGGTAAGCACTCTTTCCGACTCAATTTCTTCCCTTCCCATACCCCTTTTGGAGTCTGAAGACGTGTTCGAGTAGCATGGACACATGTTTTGCTCTTCGAACATGTCTTCAAACTCAGGAATCCGTCTTAAAAAGAGAAGTGCTAACCTCGAAATGGTGTAGTCGGTTGCTTGTGCTACTGACATGACCTTATTTGGATACGACCAAGGTGTTTTTGGTAGATTCCTCCATTGTCAACAGCAATTCAAGACTTCGTTAACCTTAATTCCATGTAGGCGGTGTGATTGTGACCCCGGACTTCCTTGACACATTGAACTTATCTGGACCCGAGCATACTTCGCTCCTGGGAACAGTCACTGCCCTATACGACGTTGGATGCTTTTTCGGCGCCGTGTACGTATTCTCCGGGGCTAGATGTTGGTCGCATCGACTCTCAGGACATATGTGTCTTTGAGGATCCAGAACCGCATACAGGTTTCAAGGCTCGAAATTCCGTCTTGAATGATCAACACTAACTTACAATCCTACTCCAGAGCAGCCTTTTCTCTAGGTGAAAGATTGGGCAGGAAGAAGTCCGTCTTGTTGGGAACGACCGTGATGAGCATAGGAGCCATCCTTCAGATCTCGTCCTTCAGCGTAGCACAAATGATTGTTGGTCGCATTGTTGCAGGTCTCGGCAACGGCTTGAACACCGCGACAGCCCCTGTATGGCAAGCTGAGACGTCCAAGGCCGCCTGGAGAGGCAAACTCGTAGTCATTGAGTTGATTTTGAACATTGCCGGCTTCTCTCTGAGCAATTGGATAACTTACGGCTTCTCCTACGTCAATGGGCCTGTTGCTTGGAGATTCCCATTGGCTTTCCAGTTCATCTTCATATTCATTCTCTATGGAACAGTTCCCTGGCTTCCGGAAAGTCCAAGATGGCTGATTGCACACGGGCAAGTTGAAGAGGCTGAGCACATCATAGCTGATTTAGAGGCGACGACGGTTGACGACGCCTACGTTGTCACGGAGTCCAAGGAAATTCAATGGGCAGTCCAATATGAGCGCGAGAACGGCGTTAGCTGGTGGGACCTGTTGAGAGGCAAATCCGGCAATGGGACATCAACAGTCCGTCGATTGCTTCTTGGAGCTGGAGCCCAGGCAATGCAGCAACTCGCCGGCATCAACGTGACCAGCTATTATCTGCCAACAGTGTTGATCCAATCTGTAGGGCTGAGCGAAAAGCTGGCTCGTTTGCTAGCAGCTTGCAATTCCGTCAGCTACCTCGCGTTTTCCATGATAGGGATTCCTAATGTTGAGAGGTGGGGCCGACGAAAAATGATGATATACGCCTCCATTGGCCAAGCGCTTAGCTATATGCTCATCACCATTCTTCTGCGGTACAATGAATTGCCGGGCTATAGCGGCAGTAAGCAAGTTGCCTCGGCATCAGTGGCCTTTTTCTTTACCTATTACATATGTTTCGGCATCGGGTTTCAAGGTGTTCCTTGGCTGTATCCCACAGAGATCAACTCTTTGTCCATGCGGACGAAAGGTGCCGCTCTTGGCACAGCGTCGAATTGGGCTTTCAACTTCATGGTGGTAGAAATAACGCCAATCGGCATCCAGTCCTTGCACTGGAAGTTCTACATCATCTGGACAGTTTTTAACGCATCTTTCGTCCCCATTGTGTACCTCTTCTACCCCGAGACCGCAGATCGGACCCTCGAAGACGTGGACCGTCTTTTCCGCGAAAATCAGAACGTAGGTTTAATATCACTGTTATCTCCCATTGCAACAAATTTGCTGATGTTCCGTCTGCTAGATATTTGTTTTCAGAGATCCAGATGCCATATCTGCAAAGAGACCGTTGGCGTACATTGAGCATGAGCAGGCCGAGGTGAGGCGAAATAGTAGTGTTGTCAGCGCAAATCCAGAAGCCATTAGGCGGAGGATGGAGGCTCTGGACAGAGCGAACAAGGAGGTAGACGAAGAAAAAGGGGCAAAGGTATTGGAACAGGAGTAGATGTTTGTTGAAAAGTCAAAGCTCGAGAGTTAAGTTCGGGGTGAGTGGATACAGACTTACAGAAGAAACACCGGGCATCTACCGGCTTCCTGCCCAGGAGAATGGGTTTGATTTACAACGGACCCGAGCGATGGCAAATTGCCATTCATGTAGCGCAGTCACAAGGATCAGATCTTGTTTCCGAAGAGACTACCCTTTGTCTCTCCATTGTTCGGCACTACCTGCTGGCTCATTTCGCCCGTTTCGCAGATTTTGGGGCTGGTTGTCCTTGTTCCTTGCACAGATCAGACAAAGGTTATCATATCAGTAGTCCTTCCTTATAGGAGACCTGCTTTTAAAGTCTCTTCGCTCATTTCCTACCTAGACAGTTATTGGATACTTCAGTAAAGGCTTTTAAACTTCTTAGCGCCGCTCCACTCCTCACTGCCCATTTAGCCCTCCTCACACCTTCTTTCCACCGTCCATGACCTGGACCCCTTTCCGTCACCACAACCCCTGAATCCCCTTCACCCATGTGGCTGGTCCCCCCCTCGCAGATGCCACTTACTACCAGCATTGCCGCCGTATTCATCAATACGACTTGCATTATTGGATCTTCGTATTCGAGCTTTCCTTCAAGTAGCCGCATCAATATGTCTGCATTGTCTTTCGGCGCGTCTCCCCCTCGGATTGCACTCAGAGGATGAGTTGGGAACCCGAAGTCAGTCGGCTCTAATTGGAAGTGCTCGATCTCGACCTCTGCCTGTTCCGAGCACTCCAATGGCTCATTGACCTTCCAACAATCAGTCATCCCTGCGCAAGAGATTTCATCCAGTCCTTCCCGCCCAGACACAACCATCGCTTTCCGCATACCCTTGGCCTTTTTCAATCCCGATATACGCAATGCTTCTGCGAATACAGGACCGAGCGCTCCTTCCGTAACACCTATTAAGCGGGCTTCGACCAATTCCTCTATTGGGTGGGCCAGCGGGCCGAGTAGGTTGAAAATCGTGCGTATACCCATCTCCTTGCGTAATGGACCCGCATAGCGCATACCAGGGTGGAAGTTGGGGGCGAAGAGGAAAGCGTAGGAAGACTTTTCATAGATCTGCGGGATGTTCTGTGCGTTGGAGGCTGTCAGGCTTGGCGGGGTTGGTAGTATGGAGGATAGGATGTCTGCGGCGCCAGAGACAGAGGTCTGGGCTCGATTGCCATGTTTGGACATCAAAAGTAGAGAAGAGGCAATGAGTGAGGCGGTAGTGCTGATATTATATGTCTGGAGCGAGGAGCCACCTGTACCGACAATATCACACTGGCTGCCTATGTTAGAGTATGTCGACATCGAACGCAGGCAAATGTACCAGCCCGCCATGATATGTTCCTTCTGTGACTCCTCGGGTCTCCACAATGCTCTTCAGAGCTGGTAAATCCACATGAAAGGCGGCTTTGCGCATGCGATCGGCACATGCTGCGAGAACATCGGCATCCTTGTCTCGTGATGTCAGTGATAGAATTGTCAGGAATGTTGCGGCTTGAGCTGGTGAGAGTCGATCTTCGAAGATTAGGGAGAAGGCCTCGGCAATGTCATCTGCGCTGGTAGGTGTCTGCGTATTTCGCAGACTCTTGAGGAGGGACGTGATAGGAGTGTATTGGGAGGATGGGTGTCCTGTGGAAGACATGGCTCACTGTACCCTAGTTTCCGGTCTCTGCTACAGAATCAGGGAAGAAATCGTCCTTTTCTGTACATCTTTGAGCCTTGAGACTCGTTCCCACAATATTGACGACTTGACCGTACTTAAGTAAAGGCTAGAAGCCTGCCACTGCCAGTCGAGCCAGTCTAGACGCCGGCCCGGGAGCGCTGCCCGCGCCCCGCGAAGCCACTACTACGAGTAAGTAAAGTAGTCTACAACACAAAGGTTTGGGGGTTGATCGATTAAGGTACTCCGTATAGTACATCAGGTACACCACATTTTCCCCTATGTACTGTGTATTCGCAGCTTTGGAAATGTACTCCTATGATCTCTTGCCAACGGCATTCTAGCATGAATATATTCTATCTTCTGTCGTAGAGTCTGATTGCGAGGCCACCAGGGCTAGCGATGGTTTCACGAGGATGATGTCTCATAGACATTAAACCCCTCCACTGCCCGATGACCCAGCCAGACCCTGAAAGATGATACGCTGACCGACGCCCACGCCTCCGATTCAGTTACTCCTGGATTGCTACTGCCTGACCTTCTTTCCAGCGAATGGCGTCTTCAACAACAAGCCTCATCTCCTTCGTCCTCTCGAAGCCCCCAACTTCATCTTCAGCTGCCTATATCCCCTCAGAATGCTCTTCGGGATTGACACGGAGTGTTCCCTTTCTGACCTCGCACACAAAATTGAGCTGCAAGGAGGACTTTTGCAACACAACCTTCTCCTCACCCTGCTTAACCGTCTTCTCTGTGGCATAAGCAAATGGCTTTGTGCTCGCTTTGACAGGGTTGAACGATAGAGCAGTTTCTTTGTAGACTTCTCTCACCAGCGTTTGGAAGATTTCGGTGTCTGTGTCTGCGACATGGCCGCCGGGGATTGGAAACACATTAGGGAAGAACTTTTCGTTGGCTGCGCGCTGGAGAAGAAGGATTTTGGCGGGAGATCAGGAATTCGGGTGGAAGATGACCGCGCCCACGATGATCTTATCGTATGGATGACCAGCTGGTGACGAATGATTGATCCGGTATTGTGAGTTCGTTAGACTGAGCAAAGCCTGCAAGTCTATTCCGGAAGTCATGGTCGTGAGAAGTGTAGATTAGCTGAACGAGATGCTTGCTTCGAGGCTATGTCTGAGAATTATGTGTGTGTATTTGTGTTCTTAAGCCTAAGGGATAATGAGACGACTCGGCCGAAGAATTGTCTAGGTTAAGCCTTGATGCCTCGAGGTGGTTTACGTTTTACACCAGGTGCACTACAACCTCGATGATCTCGATGACATTGTTATGCCATCCCCAGAAAATGAAAGGTAGTACGAGGATAAAGTAGCCTCTCTTGTGGGTCATCTTCGTTCCTTATAATTTGAATGGAACTTACGACGCGGAATCGATTGTGTATTCGCAGTCATACGGTCTTTTCAAAAAATCGATACAACAAACATCTCACGTAATGTAGTATCTTGCCTTAGCAATTGCGGCACGTTTGGCACGGCCCAAAAATGATACAATATAATACCTAGCCTTAGGTTGCCTCGTTACTACTCTCTCATTAGCTGACCAAATTCAAACACGGGGCATTTCAATCTCCTTGGCCTGTCAGGCGTTATACGTACTCATCAGTGCTGCCTAGCGCCGATGCCTGCGTACCGTCTACCGTAACCATCATCATCCGTGGTGCCGGCGACTGATATGCCAAATTTGAGCTCATGCATGCAGAAAGCCGCTGCTTCGGCCCCCTCCAAAGAATCAGAAAACCCAACAAAAGCGATATGTATCTAACGAATCTTACGCCTTGTCTACTTCTTATGTTCACCGCCTTATACAGCCCTGACGGCATGGATGAGGGGATAAACATGCTGTCCGTGTGTGGATATGGCCGGTGATATGGATGGCCCAAGCTTCTCCTTACCAGCATCAATCTATATTCGTATATCCAGAGGCACGAATACGATTCATGGGAAGCAACCAGTCGCTATTCCAACGGATTGGCTGACGCATTCTCCGAAGACCTCACCACAAAGACCAGACTCTGAGATGGCACCTTGTGCAGATCACCTGCTTCTCAGGGTGCTGAGGCTGGAGCTATCTGTTGATCTCTTCCCATTTCCTGCAGCAGAGAGGTCTGCGTGAGCCCAAGGAAGATCTAGCTTTTGTATCAGCGGTCAGGCTTGATGTGCTCTCGTGAGGGCAAGTAGCTCGCTTGTTCAATCAGGTATATATCCCGGCGCCGGTTCAAAGCCTGATTCAGTAACGCTCGTGGGTCCAGTCCCGGGACATGATAGATGGGGAAGGTATGCTGTTTCAGCAGATTTGAGCGATTCACGCTTTGTATATAATCTTCTACCTATCTTGTGGCATGCACATGGCGGCCATTTAAACGGCAAGCCTCTAGACACCTTTGGTGATGGCGCAGTCTGGTCGCTTCATGGGCAGAAAATCGTGACTGGCGGCGAGGGTGGCATTACTTTAACAAAGCGGACTTCCACTATCGGCAGCTACTCTGGGGTCATTACAACAAGAGATGCAGGGCCAAGATCCCGGTAGACCACCCTCTGCGGTCGTACAGCTTGACTGGAGCTGGCTTGAAATCCAGAGTACATCCGTTAACTTGAGTGTCCAATGTTCGATGGCCACTCCCGAGCAGAGACTTGACTCGGAACCACCTTTTTTACATTTCACTCAACCAAAAGTCCGCGCTTTTCTCGCAATCTTTTTTTGCCCGCTCTCAGTGTCCATCTTGCCCCAGAAACCTGTTGAAGTAGGTCTTAGCGTTGGTGCGGATGTCAAAATCCCTGTCAAGACTCGAACTGGTCTTCAAGTTCACATGCCGTCCGTATAATTAATTTTCAATATCCCTTCTGGAAATCAAACCCAAATGCATCAAGGATTGCTGCTTCGCCCTCCATCGTCGCCTAAATTTGCCACTGTCGTCTAGTATCATGTCTGAGTGTTCACTGCAGGTAGACCGAGGATTGAGCCACGGAAAGCTGTTGTGGACAAAGAACGGTTTTGGAGAAGACGCTGGCTGTGTCGAAGCCTCCTAAATGGTTATGCGAAAGTCCTCAACCGGGTGGAACTATATCATTGCAGATCCAAACCCCTTCCCTTTCTCTTCACTCCAAATGGCCGATACTTCGAACACCTTGCCTAGAAGCATGCTCGGTTTCGTTCCATACAGATGCAGCCGCAAGAAAAGTATCCTTGTCGCCCTCGCCAGGTGCACCTTGCACCTTGCACCTTGCACCTTGAGAAAAAAGAGTGTAATATTACATTGGCCCGAAGTAATCATGCTGAGTGGACAGAATTAGTGTAAGTTCGTGGCGTTTTCTGGAATAATATATCACCCTACTTTGTTAACTGACGTTCTGGCAAGCGAGGAATGGCTCTCTCTGCTATGTCACAGTATATGTACTAGGTTGAGCTGACCCAATAGTCTGGAAACATCACTAGCTGTTTCGACAGGAAAGGTTCCGAGTCGAACACTTCGCTCGGGTCTCCCACTGGCCAACAGTGGGCGTCGGCGCACAAGAGTTCTTCAACCAACGAGAACAACATCAAAAACGATTCGTATTGAATGATAGGTAACCTATCGGCTGAGGTTTCGAGAAGGATGGACAGTGCTATACATTCAACGTCAGGTAGAACGAGCTCACAGATATGGCTCTCCCCTTACTGTTTCGAGGTCTGAAATACTCCAATAGGCAGCTGGCGTCCAGTCCTTCTGACCATAGGCAGGGAGATGACCAGGAGTGGGAGTCAGTCCCTCCCAACAGAGAAGATTAGATCTCCGAGCCAGGTATATAACTTATGCTCGAGAGATTCGCTTCGATTGCTTGGACTACGCGCTGATGGGTCTCTCGCATAGTCTAGATACCCTCCTCTGACATTGAGAGGGATTTCTGTCTAGTGAGTTCATTTGACGCCGTAAATTGATCAAATTGGTGGGCGTTTTGCAGAATTTTTCCTTTCTGGTGGCTGGCAATCGGGTGCTGCTGAGGCTAAACTGGCTTGGAATGCGTCGCAAATTCAGTGTACTGGTATCACGGTCGACAACAACAAGACTACCAATTGGTGGTGGCCGGCGGGAGAAATAGACCTTCCATAAGACGATTTCCCCAGCAAAGAGTACGAGACATACTGCCGTCATTGGCTAGGTCATGTTGAACTTTGCAAAGTCACTTCCATCGATGGATCTGGGACCCAGATGGCAGCTAAGATGATGTTTATGTGGGTACCGAGGTAAGGTACCTTGGCTTGGGAATGGTAGAAACCGTTGAATACTGAATAGCGTGGAGATAAGATTAGGGGTGGTGGCAGTAGCCTATGACACGTTTCGTAAGGCTGATGGCGAAACGCTAGTGTAAAGAATCTGGCGGTTCGATCCGTGTCAACTACCTTATCGAGTTTGTACTAAGAACCAACTTGTACGGAAACTCCATACTTCCCATTCCTATAATGCATATACTTGTAATCAATGATGACGGGCCTCCATCGTAAGTACCAAACGTTACATCATCTCAGGGTCAGTGGTAATGTAAAATACTAATGATTTAACAACATGAAAGCAATCAATCCTCCCCATATGTCCACGCATTTGTGCATGCTTTACAGAAAACAGGCCATCATGTATCAGTCATACTACCCCATCAGCAGCGTTCATGGATTGGAAAAGCCCATTTTGTAGGCCATGTGACCAAGCCCACCTACTTTCGTCCGGGAACACTCCACGAGGATGACGGCACTACTCATCCAAGACCTCTGTCGTCTGAAGAAGACGAGGAGGAATGGGTCCTCGTCAATGGAACTCCAGCGACATGCGCTCAACTCGGCCTTCATCATTTCTTCCAAGATAAACCACCAATTGACCTGGTTGTTTCAGGACCCAATTACGGACGGAATTCTACCTCGTTGTTCAGCCTGTCAAGTGGGACCATTGGTGGAGCTATGGAAGCTGCTGTGTGTCGGAAGAAAGCCATTGCCCTCTCCTTCGCCTTCTATTCTCGAGACCATGATCCAGAATTGATTGCTGGAGCTTGTCGTTTGTCTGTCAAACTAGTCGAGCATCTCTACAATCACTGGGATGAGGATGCGGACCTTTACTCTTGCAACGTACCTGTAGTCGCAGATGTTGAGAACCACAAAGTCCTCTATACCCATGCTTTGCAAAATTACTGGACTTCAGGTAGTTCTTTCCAAGAGATTGAAGCTACCGAGGATGATGAAGATCCTCAAAGCCGGGAGCAGGAGATTAGGGAGAGCGAGGAATCACAGAGCGCCAGCGCCCAGGGAAAGGCGACGAGACACCAGCATCGGCACTTCAAGTGGGCACCAAAGTTTAGCGATATACAGAAATCTATCGACGAGAGTCCACCAGGCAATGATGGATGGGCGATCCATCAAGGATATACCAGGTGAGTTGCTTGTCGCATCGTAGACATTGTAGTGCAGCCTCGCTAATCTACTTCGCAGTGTGACTCCTTTGAAAGCGAACTACCGGCATGCGTCCAATATATCGATGGGAGAGATTAAGCTGTGAGTAAGTCAAAAATGTATATAATCTCAAAGCCACATAGCCGCACACAAATCCTTACAAAGGTCTAACATAATTATCCACGTGCTCGTTGGCCGCTGTAAAATGACAGCTCGCATTTGATTACCACGAGTTGGAAGTCCATCACTGACCTTTCTTGCTGAGCTTTCTAACATCCTCGTGACTAGGTCTCCGGCAAACTCTCGGTCATCAGCTCCAGTATTCTACGCCGTCATCGACGCAGATCCTTATGTGCTCCCACTGATTCACAGCGCTCTCTCAGCGAATTTTCCTACTCAGTCCTATGGATTTTTTGACTCGCTCGCACGACTACCATCCGATGTCCATAAGTTGCTTCAAATCATGCCGTACGAATCTTTAGACTTCACCCATCTCCTGAAACACCCAACAACTACCTTGGCAAATAGCTACATCATCCGTAAAGCATTGATCCGCAAACACTATTTACACAACACTATAACGAGTTGGTGGAGCAAGCATCCCAACGACACCAGTCTCAAAGGTCATGTGCCGCTGACGGTAGGGTTTGAGGTTGATTATGCAGAATTTTTAGACGAGGCGCTTGTGGAGTGTTGGGAGCTGAAGGAAAGCTGGGAGAAAGACGAAAGGGAGTGGTGGGTCTTGAAGCCCGGCATGAGTGACCAAGGACAAGGTGTGAGGCTTTTTAGCAGTGAGGAGGAGTTGAGGTCTATTTTCGAGGAATGGGACGAGCCTGACAGCGAAGACAATGAAGGTGTGGAGACTCCACCGGCTATCAATGGCCAGGACGTCATCGGTGCAGGAACCATGACTTCGCAGCTTCGACATTTTATTGCCCAACGATACATATATTCACCTCTGCTTTTGTCATCTCATGGAAAGCGGAAATTTCACATTCGCAGCTACGTACTCGCTGTTGGCGCATTGCGTACGTACGTCTATAAGGACATGCTTGCGCTCTTCGCACCGTTGCCATATACCGCCCCTGGCGCCTCATCTTCGGATACACGTTCTACAGCCTCAGACAACCCAATAGATCCAAGGGTCCACCTAACCAATACCTGCCTTCAGGATGGCAGTCGCGAAGGCAGTGTTGTACGTTTCTGGGATCTGCCAGAAGACGCAGACAATCTACCGTGTCACTGGAAGAATGACGTTTTGGAGCACATCTGCGGCGCAACGGGCACGCTCTTCGAAGCTGCAGCGAGGGAACAGATGATTCACTTCCAAACACTGGAGAATGCATTCGAGATTTTTGGGATCGATTGGATGGTGGACGACAAAGGCGGGCCATGGTTGTTGGAGGTCAATGCCTTTCCCGATTTTAAACAGAGCGGCGAGGCATTGAAAGCTGTCGTTCAGGGGCTATGGAACGGGGTAGTTGGCGTTGCCGTCAAAGGCTTCTTCAATCCTGGGGCCGTGACCGAAGAAGGGATTGAGGAAGAGCGATTTGGAATGCGAAGGGTGTTGGATGTGGATTTGGGAAGGAGATGAGCCTCCCCATGAACGAAAGCTCAAGCCACACGGTAGGAAGAAGTCCAGCAGCTCATTAGAATTGAGTTCCAGACCGCTCTGTCCAACCTCCGCGAAGACTGGCCCTATCACTTCTTCTTTGCCGCTGCCGCCTTGCCAAAGAAATCGCTCATCTTCTTCATCCCCTTCGTATCGACCTTCTTGAGGTCCTTGATACCTCTAGACTCGCTAGCTTTCCTTTTCTTCTCTTCCTCTTCCTTCTTCCTCTTCTTCTCTGCTCTTGTCTCTGCGGCATCATCGTCCTCGTACATGCTCCTTTTCCGGCTATAGTCTCCGAGTGATCGCGAAGCAAGCGCTTCGGCGCGCATTTTGGCAATGTTGGCAAGACGCTCGTCGACTAGCTTGAAATCTACTTGACTCTTGCCAGATGAGATCAACGTGTTCAAAGGTTCTGCTATTGCTGGTGGGACGTAGCTTGATATAACGTAAGAAAGAGCTGTGCGCAGCCGCAGAAGGTGGTAGAGCTCGCTTTCGTTTGTCGCGGGAGTGATGTCTTCTGGAGTCGTCGTCTCTGTGGTTGTCGAAAGCGCAGAACCCGTCGACTCTGCGGAGGCAGTACTGGCCTGTGAATCAACGGCATCCGATACGATTGACTCCGAAGTCGGCGTTTCGATTCGAGATGTTGTTGCATCAGAAACGGAGGTTTCTGAGTGCTCTACAACCATCACAGGAGTCTCTAGGGCCTTGCGGATAAATCGTTCCTCCATGCTGGCCGGCAACCCCTTGGCAATTATAGTCTCCGCTTTCCGCACCAGTTCACGCAAGAGCTTCTCATCACTGAGACGATACATCTTCTCGCCTCCAGCGTCCACGGTATCGCACACGGCTCCCATCCTCTGCTCCATTACCAAGCGTGTCTGCTCATGACCTGATATATGACCGAAATGTTTTGACTTCTCGGAGAGCTTTTCCAGGAGATCATCTGCGGAAAGGAACAATCTCTTAGGCGTGGATGATTTTGCTGACGATTCATCAACGAATGAAGGCAACAGCAAGAATAGCTGGTCGATAGGGGTCGCAATCAGCATCTCTGCATTCTTGACTGTGTACCCGTCAGAGATCGGCCTGTCATTGGCTTCCGCGGGTTCTGGCTTAGGCTTCTCCATAGTCGTCGGAGCCTTGCCGGATGATGCATCCTCATTGTGGCTTACAAGCCTGGTTTGGCGACCTATCAGCCAACTTCGGCATGCAGATTTTGGCGCCGTGATACGTGTGAATTCGTAGAGTCCCTTGTCAGGGTCAAAATAATATCGGCTTGGAGTCAACGTCCGCGGATGAGCCAATGTACAAACGCGGGCTTCCGGGGAGGCATGTTCGGGCAAAACGAGCATTTTGGGAGGGCAATCAGCCTGCGGGAAATCCATTTTCGAGTCGCGAACGGTCGATCGAGAGATTACTGCGCTGGTCGAGTCTTCGTGGTTCTCAAAAGTCAAAGAGCAGATTCGAGGACTGAGGCAGCCACGCGTTAGAGACGTGACAAGCGCCCCGCGACGCGACGCGTTTCTAAGCGCAAGTATTAACGGTTTCATCAATCTTGATAAGTTGATGACACAACGCTGTAATTCCTATTCTTACGAAAACTACTTGGACGCAATGGTGGCCATTAAGTTCGGGAAACTGTTTACAAAAAGGGTCGATGGCTAAGATCTAGCTGCCCACAGGCGAATGCAGAGGCTCCCATTGCATCGACGCAATTTGCAGTACCATGTCTACTGGTATGCTTTCCAATACAGGGAGAAACGAATCCGCTGCTGATCGGGATGTTCAGGGGCCTTCGACCTAAGATGGCCGCCTCGATCGCCGCATGAGGCTCTTCTAAGCTCTCCGACGGGCCGGCAAAAGATCCGGCAGTACTACGATCGGACGTCTCCCTCTCCATCGCCTCTAAAGATTCCATCCACTACAACCAATCTGGGTCCGATGAGACGGAAATTGACCCCTCCGGATTCCCCTGGCGAAGATGAAGAGACCTTGCAGTTGAAGTTGGCTGCGATCGAGGCAAAGCTCAAGCTCAAACGATTACAGCAAAAGAAAAATAAAGCCGGTGTATCTAGCTCAAATTTTGACTGCGAGAACCGCGGAAAGGATCAAAGCTCAAGAAAAGAGAACCTTCCGCCGCCATCTCAGAGTCGAGGGACATACGGAAAAGTGCCCTTGGCCCGCCCCAAGTCTGCTACGGACGTTCAGATACCGGTGTCTCCGCAGAGAAAGCACGTCGCGGCTGAAGAAGCACATTCGCCTGGGAGGGTATTGCTAGGCATTGACAAGGGTTTGAAGGGGAAAAACATTTCGTTGCGTCGTCCTCAGGGGGCACAAGCTAAAGACGAAGATCCTTTCCGAAATACAGCGCCACTTAGTAGTGTTCCAAGAAGTGTAGGACTTTCACGCAGCTCCACTGTCCCTCAGTTGGATCAATCGGGTAGATCCAAGTCCTTTAGCGAGAAAATTGCGGAGACGAGGCAGCAAGACAAGGCCCGCAAAGAAAAGGCGGATAAGCTGCAGCGACAGAAGAGTTTAGGGTTCGGGGTCCAGCAACAGGATATTGATGCCTTTAAGACTGCCGCCGACAGTACAGAGCAGGTTACGGAACGTCGGTCAAAGCACGACCCTCAGGTTGCGAGCAGCGGCTTCTCGAGAGACGAGGTACTCAAAGCTGTAAATAAACCCAATGGAGGCCTGAATGAACGAAGCAACACCAGTGCTGGTGTAAGACGTGCTCGAGCCCAAGGCAAGTCTTCTAATGATATTTGGATAAACCCCAACGCGCAACCTGAGATGTTGAAACCATCTTATCCCGCATCAAACGATTCGAGGAAAAGGGCGCGATCTCTGTCACCAAAACCCAAAGCTTCAGATCCGCCTCCGAGGGAAGCCAGTCCAGAAACGTCCACCTCTCTCTTCGAGCCCTTCGCATCCCTTCACCTCTCTAAGCGCCTTCTGCCTCACAACTTTTTGACTGGCACCTTTTCCGAGAAACACATCTTCTTGCTCCCGTCACTCCTTAGCGCTGTCAAGTCTCCCGACTTTTTACTTCCAGATGTCCCGGAGCCGGATCACGTTGTCCTCGCTATCATCGCGTCTAAGTCATCGCCTCTAATTCACAAAGGTGCTCACAAATCCACAAGCGCAGAGAGCACCTCCATCGCTGAAGCGGCCAACAGCGAACAGAATACAAATGGCAAATATATGGTCCTTACGCTGACCGACCTGAAGTGGACGGTAGACCTCTTTCTCTTCGCGACTGGCTATACAAGATTTCGGAAGCTCACTCCTGGAACGGTTGTTGCTCTTCTAAACCCTGAAATCATGCCACCACCACCCGGTAAAGCGGATACGGGTCGATTTAGTCTCAAGCTTGCGTCCAGTGATGACACCGTCCTTGAGATAGGCACCAGCCGTGATCTGGGATGGTGTAAGAGTGTACGCAAAGATGGCAAGCAATGCGGAAGCTGGATCGACAAGCGCCACACCGACTTCTGTGAATTTCACGTCGACGTTGTTGTTGAGCGTACGCGAAGAGGAAGAATGGAGGTTCAAGGTATGAGCGCGCCCTTTGCGCCTGGCGGAAGGCGGGGAGGGAGGACAGGGCATTTTGGCGACTATAGACGGGGACAGAAGCCCGCACGAGACGACGGACTTTCCAGAGAAGGCCCTCAGTACGATCGCGGTAGTGCTTCCCGATACTTTGTCGCCCCCTCTACCCCAGGTTTCAGTGCCGCTCAGCTACTGGATGCAGATGGTGGGATTGAACGGGGAGGGAGTAAGGAAGAAAGGATACGTAAGCGACTAGCGGAGAGAGAGAAAGAAAATGAGATCGCAAAGAAGCTGGGAGAAGGTGGTAACGGAGCAGGAAGCGAGTATCTGCGCCTGAGGACAGGAGGCGAGACATCAGCGAAGAACGCGGACCCTCAGGCAGCTGATCCCATCGATGCGACATCGCTTGGGCTACTGGGAAATAAAGCGAGAAACGTCCACCTGAGTCCCATCAAGAAGAAGAGGAAGGTTAGCGCACTGAGCGTGGATGGCTCCAGAAAGAAGACACGTTTTGTGACTGATCGGGGTATCAAAGAAGCTGGGCGGGAGAGCTTTGGTGGGGACGTCGCCATGGAGGATGCGGACGATGATGATGACGATGACGGATTAGAGGTTGTGTAATCTATATGCGCCCCCATCAAGAATTCGTGATGAAGCTGAGACTGCTTTCCTCAAGATATCAAAAGAACAGGCAGGCTATATATCCCCAGCAGTCCGTGGGAGTGGTTTTATTCTTCACTCCCCCTTAGCTCTGTACACCATCTGCGCACTAGCATAACCATGCTGTCAGAGGATACCTAGGCTCTATTTTAGCTCTCTTGACGAATGGCTTATGTCTTGAGAGCCCTTACTGTTCAGCTCGGCCGAGCAGCTCCAACGGTTGCATCGCGAATTGGTAGAACGGCTTACGTCCCTAAGTCCAATCTCCCACAATACCGCGAGAGTCGAGCAAAGTCGCCTGGGTAAGATGGACCGAGGGACTGCAAACTTCTTGTGCTTGCGCCTGGAAAAGAGCTAGATCACTGTTCCTGTACCTCGTCGGGCTCTACCACCCTTGTCAAGCGTGTAATATTGGAGAGCTGAACACCTGGAATCGCAGCGGAGTCGGTCAAGTTGACGAGGCCCGCCGCAGCAGGATTGATGGCCAAACGATCGCCTGGTGTCAAGCCTCTAGCCGCGAGATCGAAACGAGAGCCCCAGGCGTAGATGATCACGAAGAGGCGTCCATGTTTTCCTTATGGTGTCTCGTCAGTACCACACGCTCAGAGTCCTCCGCAGATGAAAATACCCAGCGACTCCGTGCCCACCTCCCCGTCCATATGGGTCTCTGGTTTTGTGCAACACGCAGTGGTCGAGTATAGACTTTCCGCGTTGCGTAATTTCACTCCACAGCCCACTATCTGTTCCGGGAGAACCGTCGACGTTACTCCCGACGATGAGGGCTAGTTTGCATTCACCTATCCTAGGACTAGTGTGCCCCTCTATGGAAGTGAACGTTGCTTCGAAAAAGACTCACGGGTACTCCATACTTCGGGCAAAGTAGCATGATTTCCCCACTGCGCAAGAGTGAAATCCGAGGCTTTCGCGAAATACGGAAGGAAAAAAGGCATGATCCAAGGAATCTAGATTGAAGGTCCCTTTCCTGACTGGCGCTTTGCCCTATAGGAGGGAAATTCAGACTTCGTAGACTGGCTCGCCGTAGTCGCTCCGGCTGCAGTAATCTGCGGAGAAGGCGAATGCTGACAGAGAGACTAGTATGAGCAACGTACGTAATATGACATTGCATTGCGCAGTTGAAGCTGTTATATTCACGTCAACTTTCATCTTTATTAACAGGCATGAAGGACGAAAGATGAGAGGCCTCTGGCTTTTTTTTTATTTCGGCAATTAGGACGCACCATGGCCTCATATCGCATGTCCGTGGATTTGTTCCCCTGGAAGTCAATGCATGATGTCCGTGACCACCATGCGCAGTTGGTGAATTGATGCGAAATGCGATACTGGCCGAAAAATCGGAACAACCTCCGTCGTGTGTGTGTACGGCGAGAACATCGACACTCACGATATGGAGTCCTACTAAATTCTAACAAACATTGTTAGCTACGCGGACATTGTTAGATAGATTCACAAGGCTGCTGCAGACAAACACACAGCAGTGCGTGTCGAGAAGGATTGTCCTATACGGAGCATCGGTCTATCGGATTTTGTCTGCAGTGAGTTCTATGTACAAGTCCATTGCATATTACATGCAAGGTCACGATAAGTCAATGCTAAGGCGTTGTCAGTCGGGTAATGATCGGGCCATCACCAAGAAAAAACAGAAGCGACTTACATCATAGAGCCATGTCCTGGCTCACTTACCACCACCGCCTCAGCTAGCTTCTCTTTTGTAATATCGGGTTCCCTTCTCCGGTAGTACTTCTCTTCCCAAGCAGCCTCGATAGCCTCAACCCTATCCTTTGGCACCAAATGCACAGAACATCCACCCCAGCCTGCTCCGGTGACTCGGCCACCGTACGACCCGGCCTCTCTCGCAATTTCGCACATCTCATCGATCTCGGGACAGCTGTGAACGTACACATCTCGGCTGGAAGTGTGACTTTCATTAAGTATATCGCCCAATCTTGGAAGCAAAACGGTATCAGCATCAGCGGGTGGATTTAGCAGTAGCTGTTTGAAAGCCTGTACGCGGAGAGCCTCAGTGAAGACGTGCCGCGCTCGTAGCCCAAGATGGAAACGCTCGGCACGGATGGGAAACTTGGTCATGAATCTTCGCTCAAGAGCCTCGACTGACATAGATAGAGTGGAGGCAATCTCTTCACGAGTATAGCCTTCAGAGTTGTCGAGAAGCTTGTCTATAAGCGAGAGCATTACTCCGATCTGTTCTTCAGCACTGGAACGCTGATCCGCTTTCTCGGACTCGTAGTAAGCATTTTGGAAACCACGAAGACTACTGCCCAAGGGCCCAGAGTCGGTCTTGAGCTTCAATCGTAGTTTGGCGGCCAAGACCTCTGCTGCAAGAGTGCATTCGACGACACGCAGATTATACTGTTCAGGAGCTGCGACATGTTTATCTGCAGCAATAAAACTTTGGGCGATCATGAAAGTTATTGGAGGGTCAGTTTTGGGAAACGGTAGCGCCTCGGCATACAACTCGGGCGAAAATGAGATGCTGACTGCATCACCTCGAACGGAGAATACAGACGCTGCTTGATCCATGCCTCCAGAATTTACTCCGACGGACCGCTCCGATACAATGGCAAGTTCCACCAATTCCTTTTTGGGGACTTTGTCCGAGCCATTGGCCCGCAGAGTTGCTAAAGCACTTGCGCAGACGAAAGCAGCGCTACTTGATAGCCCACCGCCCGCTGGCACAGTGCCGTCAATAAGGACTTGCATTCCACATGAAGAGAAACAGGAATTCTGTTTTCGAAGAAGGTCGACGGCGCCGCTGAACCCGGCTTTGAAGTAGTTAGTCCATTGAAGTGTGGAAGCATCAATCTCGACGTTTCCATCTTTCTGTACCGAAAACTCGCCCGATTTGAATTTGTGAGGGTTGAGATTTTCAACCTGAACCTTCACTTCTTCTTGATTTTTTCTCGGTACTGGGGAGACTGCAATGAGCACATCTGCGGCTATGGCCATGGGAAGAACCTCATAGAGCGAGTAGTCGATGTGCTCTCCGATGAGATTGACGCGGCCTGGGCTGCGAGCAATGAACTGGGGAGACCGTCCATATAGCTCTGAGAATCGAATTTTGAGATGTTCAAAGCGTGCCCTCTGGGACTCGAGAGCATCTTTTGGGTACAAGTCTTCCAGGTTTTTGACCACTGGGACGGGCTCGTTCATCGAACTTTTGGAAGGCATCCCAGAGACTTGGAGGGTAGATAACCCGGTGAAGGTGAGGCTTAGATAACCTTTTAGATGGATGATGATCTTCGTGCTCAGAATTTCTCAGTAAGTTTGTGACTATGATGACTGTAGTTTTAAACGTAAGGTATGTAAGGAATGTTCAAATTGGAACGCCACACGACCTCAAGGCCTGTTCATTGGTGAAGAGCCCGAGCAACGTCTTTGGCGGTGCTCTTGCCCCCTGTTACATTTGCTATGCTGAATGAACCCCTCCGACAAAAGGGAATTCAAGCGTCTTCGCCGTGACTTGATACAGTCTGAGTAGACAAAAGGTGGTATAGTACACCAAATGTGTGGAATTTATCATTGAACGAGGCTGGAGATGCAGAACCACAATCTATTTCCCCACACTACTTTACGCTAGTACAGTAAATCTTGGCAAACTCATACGGACATGGCCGCTTTAGCGAGTGAGCTAGCTCGGCTAGCTACTTGTTGGAAAGCTTGCTTTCTCAATGCTCGAGAGTTGAAATCCCAAATGGCTTCTACGCTAAGAGGCTAGTGACCAATCAGATCATCGGATTTCACGATTTCTAGTCTAAAACACACCTTATTTCTTCATTTTCGATCTAAACACGGGTACACACGGGTACGTCCAAAAGAGGAAGCTGGAAAAGAACTTCAAAATCCTCAAATCTACCTTTTTTGATTCCTTTTCTTTTATCAAAATTATGATAATAAAGTAAGTTCATAAAGTTATAGAGCTAATTATACGCTTTCAAATAACGTAGCGTAGAAGAAATTTGATAGAGTATTCGTAAAGATATACTAAAAAGTAGTAAATTATCGAGCTTGCGAGAAGAGCCTCTCCGGCAGGAGCCCTCGGAGAGCCCCCGGAGGGTCAGGGGGGTTCAGGGGGTCTCCCCCTAAGTATATCATAACGTCTCTCTTAATTCTCACAGTTAGACGGGAGGGTTAGAGGGGTTTTAGAGATCTTACGTCTCTCGATTCTCAGGGTTAGACCCCTTAAAACCCCTTAAACCCTTCGGAGCTCTTTAAGGGCTCTCCGAGGGCTTCTGTCGGAGGGGCTGTCAAAGCAAGCTCGAAATTAATCAAATATCACTAAAATAATCAAATTTCGAGCTTGCTTTGACAGCCCCTCCGACAGAAGCCCTCGGAGAGCCCTTAAAGAGCCCCCGAAGGGTCCGAGGGGTTTTAGGGGGTCTCCCTGAGAATCAAATATAGTCAAAAACCAGTACTCCGCAAGCTTTTCACTACTGGGAAGCCCGCGCCCCAGCACATATTATGAGTAAGCAGAGTTGAAGCGAAACGCGATGTTCACACACAATTCTTCTTTGCGCTCTCAGTCAGCCAGACATAGATACTTCAGATACGGTATAAATGAGGGGGAAAAAAAGCTCAAAAGGAAGAGGTGCGCCATCTCTTCTCTCTGACTCTTCGACTTGACGAAGTACCGTTATTTAATACAGTGAACATCATGGAATATCATAGTACACTTCACACAACTTTGCCAATACTCGCAGACTCGTCCACCTCGATGCTTCCATAGTCACTCATCTCAATATCTGCCCTTTTCGTTGCCACCATCTTACCCTCATTGAACTCATGAATCTTCGGAGTTATCTCGACACTCGATAATCTCTCGGATGTTTTGCTGCGGTCCGAACGACGTAAAGCAAGGCTAGTATTTATGGAGTCGTCTATGTTTAGTGAAGACGGTGCGCGTCTAATCAAAGGATTTAGAGGCGGCATACATGCTGCTAGAAGGCCAATAGAGACTTCCGCGGTCGTCCAGAAGTTTGGCGGGGTTGCAAAATGGTTGGTGTTGCCTTTCGAAGGATCCAAGGAGACTATACTATGTCAGTGTTCGCCATTAAGAAAAAAGTGCTGACTGCGACATTGAGAATATGCCGTGTGGGGAGCATATTAGCAAACAGCTTGGTGACGTAAAATAATCATACTATGCCAAAGACAAGTGATCTATTAAATTAAGTCAGCATTCGAACGATACTGATAGTGTATGCGTGAGAGAGCAATTCGACTCACAGCGTGCCCAGCAAAATGATGGCAGTCTGCAACTTGCGAATACACGGGTATGGCAGCGCAAGAACTGCAACATCACCTAGTACATCCATGATAGCGAACCACAAGAGTAACCACTCCTGCGAGATATGAACATTGTGGCTTTCAAGAACTACCTGCATTAAAAAGAATATGAGGTCCGAAAGCGTGATGAGGACTATGAGAGTACTGTTCACGATTCGGAATGATTTACGCTGGGCAAAGATGCGGCGTAGAAGAAGAGTACGCTAAGTCTGATGCAGCTGTTTGTGAATTCCTCGATGACAATAGTGGCATTGTCAATCTGTAGCGAATGTTGAGTTAGTGAAACGTTTTAAACTTCAGTAGTACAAGCTTTGTGCTAGATTTATCGGAAATATATACCTACCTTGGTCTGATGTGCAGCGCGCCAACAACAGTCGACTCGTTATCTCTTCTAAGCTCTTCTAAGACAGCGGCTATGTAATGCGAGAACAATGATTCTTGTGGGCCTTTTCATATTTACACAAGCTGATTTGGAAGAAGAGGCTTTGGTATCATACCGACGATCCGCATAGCACCTTCTAGGAAACAAAAGCAAGCGATCAACCAGTCATCGATCCCTACAAACGTGGGCGTAAGACGAATACGCACATGAAATCTCAAGCACACAGCTACAAAGCCAAGCAGTGGGAAAACAATGGCCGTAACGATGACACTAGCGACTCCGTACATGCTGAAAAGCAGTCCTTGATATGTTTAGAAGGGTTACTTTGCGGAGTCAGTAAGATCTCAACTAGTGTAGGATTTCGACCTGAAGGACGCTGTTGCCACCACCCATATTAATTGTGGTTCAGGCGTCCATCAGCGCTCAGAAACTCATCGATCCAAGGGGTAGCAGGTGTGCTACGCATTTCGTGCCGCAAAGGATAAAGGAAACTTTGCGATGCATTTGTATGACCTCATCTATACAAACATACTTCCATTTTCGACCGAAACTTGATGTTTATTGGCTAGCAGTCTGGATGCACACCATCAGAAACAGACTCTGGGAAGATCTGGGGTCACAGTCTGGGAAGACCGCTAAGCGAAGCCAATAGCTTGCGCGGATGTCCTGCTATTCCTGCACACATCCTTCAATGACATATCTATGCATACCATATGTCTCGTCGGCGAACACGGCTCCATATCACGTACCTCATTCATGTAGTACCCGTCCATAAAAAGAAAAGAGGCCTTACCCTATGAACGAAAGATGACCCGCACCTTGTTGTTTTTCGAATAATAATGGTGGGGTCTATACCATGCCCACACTCCTTTTCCTCCTTAAGCATGATCGAGCCTGATTACACGCAATCGTCACCCCATATTCTGAAAAGGGTTGGGGTTCAGCTCACCATGTGCTCGGGCTCTTTGATGCCATACTCCGCGGCGGAGTCTCGTGCTCTTGCTGACCGAATAGCATCGACTTGGGTGCCTTATTGAAGACATGTTGCGCCCCATCTCCCTGGGTGGAACTCATTTCACATTCAGGGTATTCGCTTCTTATACTTGAATTAGTACGCCGCTTGTGATGGACACAAGATGGAATGGGAGATCCTGAACGGATACACCATCACGTTAGCGGTATCTGTCTTGATATCTTTTCACAGATTGAATATCAGCGCCAGTTACCGTCTTCCCTCTCTTCAATCCATAAGCAATTTCAGTAAAGATGTACTCTTGGTTTGGAAGAAGATATGGCTCTCAAACCTCGGTTTTAATAGCTCATGTCTTCTTGTGCTGTCTCGCTGTGCTACTGACAGCGAACGAGATCCTTTTGGGAGACTCTTGACAGACGGTGTATATGAGCCACATTCGGCGGAGTCTAGTGAGGGAACGGCGAAGATGTCAAGTGCGGGATTGTAAGTACTATCAGATTCGATTGGATCAACCTTGGGGAGAAGATAGCAGGGATTTGCCGGTTCTTTTCAGACTGCATGTGGTAATGGTATAACTCTTCTTCACAGAGAATGACTACTTCGATATCAGTCCCTTAGAAATGCAAGAGCAAGACGCATTCTATAATTTCGCTGGCGGCAACTCGCCTTAGGTTTTGGGATCAGTTCTGTCTATGAAAGGGGGCAACACATTCGAGCTCCTTAGAGACTGCTACATTCACGATATTGTGGAAAGGCAAGCAGTCACTGAGCGCGACGGCTCCCTGGCGGTGGAGTTGCATTATGTGTACATGGAACCAACACGCTTTGGGATCACGAATAGCTTGCAAAAGCCTAGACAAGGACTCAAAGAAACATAGACGACCCAACTTTCCGTGAGTACGGACACGGTGGTATCGCTATTCCAAGACAATCAATTACAGCACCTAGAATTTTCCACTGTTAAATTTTATGTCCGAGGTGCATTCATCAAGCAGTACAGTGAAAGAGGTAGAGCATGTCGATGAACAACCATCACTTGCGAGCGACTTCGCTGCTAGCGATTCAGCTTTAAAGAGAACTACTCTTGAATTGCCCTGGGGATTCCGTTTACCGTAGGGCTCTTTTTACCCTGGTGGTTCCATTTGGCCTGGGTTTCGCTTTACCTTGCGTTCCATTTGCTACTGCTTGGCTTGATATTTCCTACCTCCCCCCATCTACTAAGCTGCACCCGTATGAGAGATATTTGGAGTCCAGGCAGATGTTCCATCTACAACACATTGACTCAAGGAACTGGCAGGCGTCTCTCAGTCTCACTTGATTGGTAGACATGCCGATCCCAACGTGGATTCTTGCGTGGCATGCCGGTCAGTATTCTTTCATCACCATGGAATATCGTTGTTAGACCGCCATGTCCTGTATTCTGACCAACCCACTTCCCCAACCTACGGCCAACCATCCTCCACATCCACAATTGTTTGGGTTCCATGCCAACGCCGTCACAGCGGTCTCCTCTTCGTAAATTGTACTCTTAGCCACGCTTTCCTTAGGTTTACTCCCATGTTGCAAGCCAAAATACACCATTTCTCCCTTGTAACCTTCCGTAATACGACTCATACCCTGATGAGGGCCCTGCCCTGGTCTCCTCACCCACTCATGCTTGAAGACAACTTGCTGCCAGCCTGCATCTTTCCTCCCGAGCGCTTTTCTCATCGGGTTCGTGATAATGACACTCCCATCGGCTCCACCTGCAGCGATAGAAGAATGACATTTGCCTACATCCACGATCCCCTGTCCAGGCCCCGGCGCGCTTCCCAGCTTCCCGCAGGCAATGCTGGCATAGAAACAACGCAAACCCCACAACCGTAAGGTCTCCGAGGTCTCCTCTAGAGCGACCACTGAAAGGAGGCTGTCGCAGTACGCGAGACTTGATGGTGGCGTACGTGTGCGCGTTGAAAGGACGTAATCGGTTGTAGGTGCGCGGAGAGAGGTCAGGCGAAGGTTGCCGGATAGCGAGGAAGAGATTAAGAGGGTGGGATGAGTGGGATAGGCGGTTGTGAGCGACAGTATGTAGGTCGAGTGTAGTTGGAGGAACAGCCAAGGCCCGATGTTCACATGCGTTGTTTCGTCTTCTAGGTCGTAGCCACTGAGGGACGGGAGGCTTGGGTTCCGGGATCCACCATTGGACGCATTAGCTGCTTCAGGAAATTCATTGTGCTCAGCTGGAGCAGGGGTAGGAGGCCATGCGCTATGATCTGCCGAGTTATTCGAGTGCAAATTTGGTAGCGATGAATGGGGGACTTGAGGGTAGATATTGTAGATTCCGAGGGCGCCATTGGAGTATCCAATGGCAAGATCTGTGGCCGAAAGCCAAGTCAGGCACGTGGTGACCGGTCTGACATCTTCTTGCTCTGTAACTGCGAGAGGTAGAAGCCCCGAGCTGGCCGAGAACACTGCTGACTGGACCTTCACTATTGGTATTTGAATTGTTGGTAGCCATTCCACGTACGTCAAGCAATTGATCACGGCGAAACTTACAGTAGCTCGTATTGGCCCCTTGCCCCTTTTCAAGCTGGACGTCCAAGACCCTGGCGCAACCGTCACCCCAAATACCGGCGAGCAACCCAATAGAGATCTTGCCAAGAGCGTCTTCGTCTCTCTTGGCCCTGGGTACAGGGCACCATCTAAGTTGAGTAATTTCTCCCCATTCGGTACATAACACCTGTTTGAGTTCAGGTGGTTGGGTGGGACCCATGGTGTTGTTGGAGGATTTAAACGACCATATCTGAACACTCGAAGGAGCAGAACACGACGGTGTGAACGCTGGAGCTTCGATTGGCGTTGTTGCGCGAGTGGAGGTCGAAGCTTCAGCAACTGCCAATGCCAGATACTGTGTATCACCGTAATGATTTGGGGCCCAATCTAGACATCTTACACGGGTACCAACATTCAACATCCAGCCAAGCCTTCGTCTCTTGCTGTTTCTGAATTCTTCTCCAGATTGTTCAGACGATTCGAAATCAGTGTCCCATGCTTCCTCGAGGCTTAGGGTTTGCGACAGTGGTAGGGTAAATACCTTCTGTCTTCCGTAAGGCCCCATAAGAAAGCTGTGACTGCTAGATGTAGTCGGAGGCAAATAAGCGACACCCTCTTCCGAGCTCAGCACTGGTACTTTTTGCTTCTTAGCAAACAAATTTCGACCTCCGTGGTCATAGTACCAGTCCCAACCTACCGTTGCTTCCATCTGACGCTTTTCGTCGGTGTGCGAGACTGAATGGCACATATTCCCTCTGCATGGTAGTGTGGGATCAGCAGCCCATTGGTCTCTTGAATTGACAACATGCAAAATGTCTTCGACGTCTGAGCCGGAAAACAGCATGACCCGGCTTCGGTCATGGTCAGTTCTCGTCGGATTCTCGAGCATGCCTCGAGAATGAACGTTAGCATCTTGATTGGGAGAGTAACCTCTTGGCTTTCGCTTATGGTCTTTGGTAGTACTTCGAAGCTCATGTTCTTCTGGATCCGAGCTTGCATATGACTGGGCATCTTCATACTCTTCCTCTGGTGTCAGGATCGCCGAGCCATCAGAAACTTCGTCAGCGAGAGACTCTTCCTCTTCGTTGCCGTCGACATGGTCTTCTAAAAAATCATGGTCATTTTTTGAGTCTTGCAGCTGCTGCAGTACTTCAAGATCTTCCTCAGAATCCGACCTAAAAATGTCGAGGCCTTCAAAAGCATCGACGGTATATTTCTTGTTGGGCACTCGCTGTCTGCCAGACTTTCGGACGGAATTATTTTGAGCCATAGCCTGAAGTGCAATATTCTACTTCATCACAAAGCGCCGATTCTCTTGCCGCATTCTGTGTTTACGTGGGTTATAAGACTCGAGCTTCGGCGTTGACTAGTCAGCAATTTGCTCAAAGCCACCGTTGAAATAGACTTGGGCTTTGAGTTACTTTCATAATTTAGCAAGCATTGAATGGTCACTTCAATTGGCCTCTGACCTCGTCGTTGTTGTTCCCTCAGTCCGTCAGACGTGCCAAGATCGCTAAGCCTCTTCGGGTTAGCGGCCATTTGCTTAGCCTCTTTGGGTTAGAGTAGTCTGCTGACTTCGCAGCCTTCCGTAGTAAGCAGAAGGTGCTAATCCGAAGGAGCTTAGCGGACTGAGCACTCTGAGGGATTGAGGCAACAGACAGGAGGCCTCAGAGTCATCAATCTACTCACTCGCTCACTTACTGGTCCTTCGCAAGCTCGTTAGCGGTTAACGGTGCTCGTGGTTTGAATACTACTCTGGCCGCTCTAGTTATTCCTTTGGTTCGTCATGACCTCTCTACCTCCTCAGCGCCAACAGCCCTCCCAACAGCGCCGATCGTCGCCTGAAGCCTCATCCTCGCAACAACACCGGAGATCAAGCATACCTCAATCTACGACTTCGGAAGACTCACAAACTGTTCTACTAAACCACCCCTCGTCGTCGGAATCCTCTCCGGAGCCAGAGCCTCAGCCGAAGCAACAAGCGAGGCCGAAAATACAAACAGCGGAATCAAATAAGGAACCTCGAAAATGCTGGATATGCTTTGCGGACGAGACAGAAGATACTCCAACTTCTTCTGAGTGGCGGTCACCTTGTCCATGTTCTCTGACAGCTCACGAGTCGTGCCTCCTGGACTTTGTGGCGGACCTGGAAGCCCCACAAAACAGGAAGAGCTATGGCCCTCCGAAGATAGAATGCCCGCAGTGCAAAGCCAAGATCACCATAGCTCGGCCTCGTAGTCTTATTGTGGAAGGTGTGCGAGCAGTGCAGCGCGCTGCTGCACGATTCATCTTGCCCTTCACTTTCGTCACCTTGTATGTACACTTCGGACCCCGTTCTTCCTCATCCGAACGACTCTTCGAGTTGCAAGACATATTCTGGATGCAGAAGACCCTTGACGCCTCTCCGAACTGTCTTGTTACTCGGCTTTGCCTCGAAGAAGTAAGGCTGACTCCGAATTTAGGGCTGGAACGGTAGTCACGGGATGTTGGGTGCACGGGTTTAGCACCATCTACCTTTTATTTGGCCCTGAGGACGCCGAGCGTTTGTTAGGAACCGATAATGCCGTCGGTATCAACAGCAGATGGGCCCTGGGTCTGCCCTTTATTCCCCTCGCACTCATAGCTGCGAGGACCAGATACGCTGACAACCTCTTACCTATCCTGCCAATATTCTATTTTGCGTCGACTGGCCCGCAACGGGACGGCCCACTTTGGCCACCAAGTGCTTCAATGACCGTGGCTATCTTACCCTACATTCGCGCGGCGTACAATGAATTCTACGACAGAGTATGTGCGCCGAGGGAGAAGGCTTGGATCAAGCAGATCCAACCGCGAGCTGGTGATCATGAAGGAGACGAAGAGCATGAACAAAATCAAGAACAAGCAAATGAATTCGAGGATGGTATGGACATCGGGCTTGATCTACAGGTCGAGATTGTTGAAGAGGAGGAAGGCCACGAAGAAGTGCAGCCAGCAGGTAACGCTCCGGAGGAAGAGCAGGGCCCCGCCAATCAAGGTCAAGACCGAGTTCAAGATCAGAATCCGAACCAGAATCGGCCTGCGGAAGGTAACCAAGCTCATGTCCCAAATGTACAACGGCGTTTACACCACCATCAACATCAACACCAACACCAAAATCAGAATGGGGTACAGGGTCTCGTCCTGAATTTCTTCTCTCTACCTCAAACCATCATGGGTGCTCTAGTCTTCCCTAGTATCTCTGCGGCCATGGGTGCTCTGCTTCAAGTAGCATTACCTCGTTCTTGGACAACACCACCAGGCCGCTGGGATCGATATCCAGCTGGTTTCTTGCAGTCTCGCTTTGGGAGGAGCATCGTCGGAGGGTGTTTGTTCGTTGTGTTGAAGGATACGCTCATGCTATACTCGAGGTATAGATTGGCACAGGACCACAAAAGGAGAAGGGTGGTCGATTATGATGCGAAGAAAGGGAAGAAGGCCGGTGCAACTAGGTGATGATAATTCGGTTGCATTAGGACAGCGCTCAATGGGCGAAGAAGATGGACACATGGATGGCACTTCTTTGAGGATGGCAAGCCTGCGATAGTGATAGCAGGGTAGACTTAGCTCTGGGATTAGTTCATCTGAATAATGTTCATCAATGAAATTTTTGTAGCCACCATTTAGTGATCTGCATTGCAGTGATTGTACCTACCTTACCTACCTACCGTACTAAGTCTTACTCGAGGCGGCGTGCCATGCCCATTCTGGATTAGTCTCTTTTGACATCCATTAGGAAGTTTCGAACATCTCTGGTGTCCTGGGTGCCAGTATCAGCGGAGCAAAGTAATGTGTTAACTCTACAAAAAAACAAGCAAATCGAGATGAGATACCTTCGATGTGTCTCAGACTGATTATATGGATGTCTCGAAAATGACAGCATATCCTTGGTTGACATTTGTTGGCGACAAGCGCATCCGCTGATGGCTAAACCCCATGTCTGCAAGACGTTCGCGCTGGAGGCATAAGATGTCGGCAGTACCGGAGGATGAGGAATCACTCTTAGCTTCTGGCCGAGAATCAGAAGACCTTTCTCGCGGGTTCGGAAAGACAACGAGGTGGCAGGGCAGATGCCGTTCACTTTTCCGACAGCGCGGGATTGGGGCCGGAGTTGCGACCATCATGACATTGGCTACACTTACTGCAGGCTTCATAGCCCTATGGATGCTGTATGTATATCATCCTTGAACTTCTTGATGTTATTTCTGACAGCCTAGATTCTCCAGAGAATCTGGAGCGACTGCGGGTTGTGACTCCGTTCTGGAGGGCTACCAATGTCAACCAGAGCTTTCTCATGCTTGGGGACAGTATTCTCCATATTTCAAAGTGCCATCCGAGATCTCTTCTGACGTACCATCTCATTGTCATGTTGCCTTTGCACAGGTACTTTCTAGGCACGGGGCTCGAGATCCTACCATGTCAAAGACCTTGGCTTATTCTCAAGTCATCGGAAAAATCAAAAGCAAAGTGAGGATCTTTCAAGGCGATTTTGCTTTCCTTGCCAACTACAGCTACACATTGGGCGCAGACCAGCTCACCGACTTTGGAAAGCGAGAACTAGTAAATTCAGGGAGGGCTTTCTTTAATCGATACGAAGATCTTGCCAAGAACACCCTACCATTTGTCAGAGCCTCGGGTCAGCCGCGTGTCATTGACTCCGCTCAAGAATTCAACAAAGGGTTTCATCGTGAAAAGACAGCTGGAGGAACCCAGGATGACGAGTACCCGTATAGTGTGACTGTTATCAGCGAGGCTGACGGTTCGAACAATACCCTGGATCACGGGCTTTGCACCGCTTTCGAGACCTCTAATATTAGCTCCACCGCTCAAGCCACATATGCCTCCGTATTTACTCCATCGATCACTGCACGTCTGAACGCCAATCTTCCAAACGCAAGCCTCACCCTTACAGACACAATTTTCATCATGGACCTATGCCCATTCGAGACGGTGGTTTCATCGTCCAGCAACCCCTCTCCTTTCTGCGCTCTCTTCACTCGAGCCGAGTGGAAGCAGTATGATTACTACCAAACACTGGGCAAATACTATGGCTATGGCGCTGGTAATCCGCTTGGACCTACGCAAGGTGTTGGATTCGTCAATGAGCTTGTTGCGCGCCTAACGGGGAAGCCGGTAGTTGATCATACGAGTGTCAATCGAACGCTTGATACAAACCCCAATACTTTCCCCCTGGGAAGGAGCCTGTATGCAGACTTCGGGCACGATAACGACATGACTGCCGTCTTTGCGGCGCTAGGACTGTATAACAGCACCCTTCCTCTGAGCACGACTCATACCATGACTGTGGAAGAAATGCACGGGTATTCGGCCGCTTGGACTGTGCCTTTTGCGGCCCGGGCGTACTTTGAGAAGTTGCAATGTGATGGGGAGGAAGAAGAAATGGTGAGAGTGCTGGTGAATGAGAGAGTGCTGCCCTTGGAGAGTTGTGGAGGCGATACACTGGGCAGATGTATGCTTGGTAGATTCGTCGAGAGTCTCGGCTTTGCGCAAGCTGGTGGGTATTGGAACCAATGCTTTGAGGAATCAGGCGAAAGAGGCGACGTCGAAGTGGCTTAGTAAATCTTCCCAACCTTCGTGTTGTTCGGTCTGAAGGCTAGCACAGCTCAACAAGCGGCATCATGGCGGTATCTCTCCATACACATTGACGTTTCGAGGGATATCAATACTCCAAAACGAGTAATTTGGGCTTTCCACCGCTTACATGCGCAATATCAGCGGGCAATTTGTCATCCGGATCCCGAGAGCTTGTAATTGAGATTTGCCCGCAAAGCTGCCTCATCATGACACCCCAAGACCTCGATAATTTGACGATGCTGCAGGTATTTTTACCTTCGTTAAGTCATTGGATGGGGAATCAAACCTCCTTCGACGATCATCTTGTCAGCTCAGGGGATTTCAATTTAGGAAGCTTGTCAACTCATGATGATCTCAAAGGCCACTGACTTGCTTTAATCGAGAACTCCAGAAATCTCCTGCCATAGAGAACGATTGCAGAGATGATAATTCACTTTTCTGGAATAGCGGTTCTGGCCGGTATGAAGACTGTAATTGACATCAAAACAGAATCCTTCGCTAGATCTGACATCCATATCGATTAATCACAGCTTCGTCTTACCGAATAATTCGCTTTCACAGATATCCTGTCTTCTCTTAAGACAGCTTGGGCATGACTTTGGTGATTGTATTATTCAAGTCCGGGCGTTTGCCGTCACTTGTTTGGTAACGAGTTCTATATCTTGGTCAACCCTCAGGAAATTTCATCACACCTATTGACGCTTGGAAGGGGGTTTTAATTCTCATGCTCAAACTTTAAGAGTCAAGCATCCCCTACTGTTAAGTCTTGCGGACCAAGTTGACATTGTCCACCCGACAAAGAACCTTCTCCGAAGCTTCATGCGTAGGACGAGGATGAGACTGAGCGTTCTGCCCTAATTTGTCCGCCACGTCGTCTAAAATTCAAGCCGTAATCCTCTCAGTCGAAGGCTTGCTATGAGATGCATAACAACAGATAGGTAACAGCTCTCGGGGAGGCCAACTGGTGACTTCCAGAGTGAAATAAATCAAGGCATGGACTGGGGAGAATCCATTCGTCCATGTTATATATAAAAGTCACTATTTCATCTGAGGCTCTGTGGTACGACTAATTGATGCTTTCGAAGGCGTGCACATGTTGGCAGGATTTTAAGTCAATTGCTCACTAAGTCATCGAAGGAGCTCGATGGACACGAATCTGACCGGTGGTGATCCGTGAATGCGGGCAAATGGCAGTCGGTACTTCTCCTCCCAGACTGCTTTCACGGCTATTTATACCCATCATTTAATCACATTTGCACGGGATCAACGACTGCACCATTCTAGAGCAACCAATACCCTATCAAGCGAAGAGCAAGAAAGAGCGACCACTGCGGCGCCTCAAATCCGACAACCAACAGCGGCGAACAGTGTATTACCGAGTCACCCCTGTTCTGCTGGGCTCTTGGTCTCCCAGGACTTGGTCAAGCAGAAGGGTCTGAATAAGTGATTTGTACGAAGCAAACAGTGCCAGAGAGGAAAATGTCACTCGTTCAAAAATCTCTCGTAGCAGCCGCAACGTTCTGCGAATGGTTGATCATTTTTGGTGTCTACGTATCAAGAGTGAATGTTCACACAATTCAGGAGTTGCATTGTTCAATCAATAGGGGCCATTTCCAAAGGCATTGTTGCGCACGTTTTGACAATAGGGGTCTGCTAAAAACCAACCGAACGACGGGCGAAGTGGGTGCGACGAAATCTCCAAATTGATCACAAAGTGGAAATTCACTCAATTGAGACCTGGTATTGACGATCTGTTGTCCTATTGTCTATTCCCAAATTTCTTGCTTTTGTCAGATATAAAGGTAAGTGCTCGTCCGTTTTTTTTGCCTTGCCTATATGATCAACGCAACCACATCCTACTGCTCACCCACCACGCACATTCTTCTTCGATCTCGTCACCCCATTAATAAAATCCCGCTCGCTGGTCGAGTGCATGAACACTGTCGTCTTACGGTCAATCACAACATCGAAATGGCAGCAACAACTGGCTGGAAGGATGACTTGGAGGTCCCTCACCCCTTCCCGGTCGCTTCGAACTTGCCAATGAATACACCGCCCCTCGCCGAATCTGCTGTTTCTTCCTTTTCCGGCTCCGGCGGCATCCGCAAATCTACCAGTATGTTGGTATTCGTCCGTTCAGTCCCCCACTAACCTGTGTAAAGTTGACATGAAGAAGAAGACACAGCTTCGTATCTCAGGCCCTGCCCCTGCTCACCGTATCCGGGCCATTTATGACCAGAAGATCGCCGCATTGGAAAATGAGGTGAATTGCCTGAGAAACTGGTGGTGGGTGGACATGATGGATCGCCCGGACAAACGAGACTGGGGCCAGGACGGCCGTTGGAGCGAAATTTACAAGAGGGAGCACTGGCTCCGAGGGTTGGAGTTGGCAGCAAACGGGTGGGTCAAGGCTGACTTCGCAAGGGAGAAGATGATGCAGGCAGACATGAGAGCCAAGGAGAGGGAGGCAAGGAAGGCCAAGGAAGCGGCGGAGAAAGCGAAACGGGAGCTGGCCACCGCGAAAATTGTGCTAGCTGCGGTGAGAAGGGAGCTGGAGGAGAAGAACGATCAGGTCGCAATGGACCGCCAGTTGGCTATGACTTTATTGGCTGCTACACAGTAGCGGAGGAGAGACATTGGGCTATGCTCGTTGACTGTGTGACAAGGTTTTCTGTTGTACTTGTCCGTGACCCTTGGGAGGACCTGTCACGGTGGCTGGATAGCAGGCAAGCTGTCAAAGAAAGTAACATTCTGGAGCGCTAGACCCATACTCACGTAGCTTTTGGGCATCGACCCGGTAGCGTTGGTCACTCATGACAGAAATGGCCCCAGAAAGAGCGCTAAACAGCCTAGGAACTTCCTCGTTGATGCTGCTCTGGTCGAAGTTTTGAGGGTTGGTATTGTCTCGACTGTCATTTCTTTGACACCTATCCCAATAGCAACCCTTGTGACATTCGAGAGGTATGAAAACTCGCTGCATGGAACTTGACACGATGAGAAATTGTTGACTATATCTAGCATTGTGCTCTTCCGCTGTCTTAAGTATCACGTGAAACAAAGGGGGATTTATGCCACATCTCCAATCCATCAGCTAGTCTCTTTACCTCCACGACGTCAGCTCAGAGCGCTCCTTCTGTACATGACATCATGTCCCATAGTCCTCAAGTACTAACAAGGTTGCAGGTAATTGCTCGGCACCAACCCTGGTCTGCTCTTCTTGCCTGTCACCTCCGCCTCCCACCATCCATCATCTTGCAGTCTCAGAACTGCTAAGACATCACCCTTTGCGAAGCTCAGCTCCTCCCCTATAGCGGCGCGATACATATACAATGCTCTTGCTGCATTAGTGTATTAGCATGATTGTCGCCACAGTATCTCTTCCATCATGGTCACAAAGATACGCAATGTCCACAGGTGGAGGGACTCACCAAAATGCAAAATCGGTCTTCCGTCTTGAGTGTACTTCCGTCCGTCCGCTGTGCTCCTACTCCTGATTCTGCTAGCTCCGTGATCTGGCTGCTGTGGCTGCCCGCCGTAATAGCTGATTGGTCGCCCTCCGTTTCCTCGCCCTCTTTGACCGCCGCTACTGACATCTCCGTTGGAAAGCTGCATTGCCATACCGCCGCTGCTGTTTGGCCGTTCTTGTCTTGCATACTGTGGTTGTGGCGAGGGTGCCCGGCCTACGTCGTCCGGTGAGTTGTGCTGAGAATAGAGGGGCTTTGTAGGGCTCGCGCTGGGGCTTTGCCTTGGGCGACCGACATTGTTATACGGAGTCGGGCTTGCAGCTCGTGGATTGCCCTGCTGACCTTGCCCTTGGTATCCAGGTCTTGGGCTAGTGCTCCTCATAGGACGAGGTGATGTTGCGCGAGGCATCTCAGGCCCGCTACCACGGGTACCAGGGCGAGAAGAACCGTACATTTCTTGATTCTGGCCAACATATTTGCGAGTGGTCGACTGCATCTGCGCAGAAGTGAAGGCCGGTTGCGGAGCATCAAGACGTCTGACAGATTGGTCGGAGTAAGAGGGTGGTGGTGTGCCTCGTTGCGCAGCTGAAGTATCTCCATTCTGCATTCCGGATGCGCTGGGAGGTCCAGGCGTAGCAACGCCCGCATAACGGTCTGCTGACATGCGGACTGAGGATTCTTTGTTGACACCTTTAAGTTCAGCGAGAGCAGCGGCGATGGGGTCTAAGTCCTTGACGGGAGAGTGCATGTTCCTTGGAGCGGGCTTGTTGCGGTTGGAATCAGGCGAAGCAACATCGAAGACGTTGGGTCCAACGTTCAACTGGAAATTGGCTCTTGGATCGACGGGCTCGGGACTTCCTGAGTAACGGTCATGTGAGTTTTGAGCATGGCCGTACTGGCGAGTTGGGCTAGAGTCCTTATGCCGGCTATTCGAAGAACCCCAAGTGTTCCGAGCAGTAGGGGTAGCTATTGCTGGATCCTCTTTCTCGTGCTTGCTCTTTCTACGGAACGGGCTGTTGCTGAAGAAACCACTTCTCTTCTTCTGGATCTGTTTCGTCGGGCTCATTGCAGGCACCATTTGACCTTCGCCGTGCTTGATAGGCGATTGCTTTCCGCTCACAGGCTCCTGACTCGAAAAGGACGTAGGATTTGAGTACTCACTCTGAGAGTCTCGACTTGATGGTCTTACAGGGCTGGCAGCAGAGCTACGCTCAGAAGGTGGTGCAGTTCGACAGAACATAGTCATTCCGTCGGTAGGATATTCGTTGTGGGGCACAGTGGGCAATTCATCTACCTTGTGCTGATAAGGAGCCTGCGTCTGAGCCTGTCTTCGATAGTCAATCAATGGAGGTAGCTGTTGCATGGCTTTCTGTGGGGTCATGGTCGTCTCACGACTTGGAGGTGTATTCGTCTCAAGGTGGCCCATGCGTGCAGCCAAATCTGACTGAGGATCGTGGTGGGATTCGAACGTTGAGGGTTGAGGAGAAGAGCTGCGGAAAGCAGGATTGATGGTCCTCTGGAACTGAGCGACTGAATAATCGTCTTCTGAGGCTTCCGAAACATTGTCATTGACATCGCCACGACAGAAGTTGATATACTTTGGAGGATCGGGAATCTCTTGCCCAGTCCCTTTCTCCTGAATGAAGCCAGAGATGTCCTTTTCGACTTCGCACCCTTCAAGTGAAAGCCGTATCTTCTCGCACGACTTGGAAAAGTTAGCAGAGCCTTAGATTGAGCTTTGATAGACACTGACAGCGTCATCGCTAACACAAACAGTCGAGGCCACGTTTGCAAAAGTCCACAAACTGCTCTTCATAAAGTCAAGTCTCTCCTCCTCAAGATCTTGAAATTTCTATGACCATTAGCTGCGCTCAACCTCTACAGAGTGCAATGTTTCTCACATCACATGCAGCCTTCCAGTCTCTATTCCATCGTCCTGTCGTTTCTTCAAGTATTTTAACGGCTGCTTCATACTCGTTGCTTGTGGTAGCTAATTGGATCTGGGTCTTCTCCATCTTGGCTTTGTTCTTGCGCTCTTCCTGCCCCATTACCATATGGCCTTGGGCTAAGTAGCCTTTTATCTTCAGACAGTCCTGTTCATACCGGTCTCGAGACTACTTCAGGTCAGACAGAAGCTTCGGAGTCTCGATATGTTTGCGCACCTTGTTCACCGCTTGAGTCTGCTGTTGCTTCTGCTTGAAAAGTTTCTCGATACCAGTCTGTACAATCTTTCTCCGCTCTTTCATTCCTCCGGCAAACGCAGCCAACGGTTCTTCTAACTCGCTTTTCATTTGGCCTGCGATCCCCTGATGCGCTTTTCCCATGGCTTCGACTTCTCCGCGCATGACGTCGAGGGAGGCTCGTAGAGTACCGGCTTCTGACGAACCGAGCGGTTTGCGACATAGCGCAGTCATCTTTCGGGCATAATCGTCTTCTATCGCAGCTCGAGCTAAACACATGTGAGCCTTCGACTCCATTCGAAGTTGCGCTCCGGTGTGTACTGTTGTAGAACGCCTTCAATTCATCGCAAGTTGCTTTCCCATTTTGCATACGCTCTAGCAGTGGCTGAACACCAGCGTCATCCTTGCCCCAGAAATTGTTCGCGACTGCCAACATCAGCGCTATTTCCCCAAGTGCACGTTCCATATTTTCTTACAGGATAGGGAAACGCTGGGCCCTTCTGCGACAGTTCCAGGCATTCTGCCGACGTGCTGGGGCGTTGATCGCCCGGTCCCCCAATTATTCTTCAAGTACAGTTGTTAACCCGAACGTCAAACTTCTTGAAAAATGACGGACTTGATTGTATGCAAACTGTATGTGAACTGTATATGAATTGTAAGGCAGTAATATAATTACATGGATAGGAATGATACTCAAATGCTAGCCTTTATTTTTCATCTTCCATAAGCTCAATATTTTTAAACACGGCTGTTGTCCCAGAGACAAAGGGGGGGGGAGGCTTATTCTGAATAGGCTTTAAACCAGATAGTTCATCTTCGGTTAGCGGCGCCAAGTCCTTTCGGGATTGAGCCTCAGAACATTGACCTTTTTCTACTTACATGCCTCACTTCTGTACTCTACTCGAATGACATCAACCTCTCTCCTTCCCCTCTCTTGTTCTCTTGTTCCCCCCAAACAGTGATCCTATATCCACAGTCACCAGATCCCGTCAGGATCCTTACGAATGTTTGTCTATCCTAGATGACCAGCTTCCCTCCCCCTCAGCCTGCAGCTCAGAACTCGATTGCTTCCAGTACAAACAGGAATTCGGGCGCACAGCCAGTGAGGGGACAACAGTCAGCCTGGGGGCTACCTGCCCCGGGAACAAGCGCTCGCCGTGGGCTCACTCCTTTGTCAACTAATCTTGGCTCCTCGTCGCTTGAATATTCAGGGCGCCCAAGTCACACCTCATCCTCCTCGCCATTCACACCATCCTTCTCGTCCGTTCTCAACTCCTCAACACAGAACGAAAACAGCAGACAATCATATCCCTCCTCTATAGCAGCGACAACCTTTCCTTCACTGCAATCTGGATCTCAACAAGCTCCATCAGGTCAGTCGCTCTTGTCACCTCGGTCAAGAGCCATCACGCCATCTTCGACTCCATATTCGGCGTCCTCCGCCGCGGCTTCGACCACCGCATCTCAAGCTGGAGGAGGTGGGGGTAGTGGTGGCGGAGGAAGCTCTAGGCATCAAACTTTCTCCCCTCCATTACCACAATATAGTTTGAGCTCTCCCACAACCAACGCCTTTGATCGACCATTCACGGGGTCAATCTCCTCTTCGGCTGCGTCTGGCCAATCCTCTGTATCTAAGATTGTCGTGACTCAGGTCTTTCTGCTGCTGGGCTCTATAACGGAGAAGGAAGGTAAAGCAAAGTGGGACGCCCAAGCAGAGGCTATCCACAAGGTATGACTCTCCAAACCTCAGCCTCCAATGATTTGCTCTGTGTAGCTTTATTGTTGACCGTTTCGTTTGTAGCTCGTGGACTCGAACGGCATGGAAGTCTTCTCTAAATATTTTCGTCGCCTCCTTGTTGGGAACTCTCCCCAAATATTCCCAGGTACCAATCGCAATGTTGAAAATCCCAGCAATTACTACCTATTAGTGCAAGAGATAGAGAAGATAACGCAAGATTCTGAGCAAGCTCCAAAAATTG